TAGACCTAGTTGTGAGTCATCTGACATGGATACTGGGGCTCGGAACAGGTCCTTTACAAGAGCAGCACATGCTCCTAACTCCTGAGCTCTCTCTCCAGCCCCAAACGTAAGTTTTTGAATGGTCTTATGAACATGATTTTACATTTAGAGAAATCATTTGTTATCATATTTTATTTATTGAGACAAGGTCTCACGATGCAGCCTTGGCTGGCCTGGAACTTGCTGTGTAGACCAGATCCTGAATCTCAGAGATTTGCATACCTGTGCCTCCTCGGTGCTTGGATTAAAAGCCTGTGTCACCATGCCTGGGTACTATTAACATTTTAAAGGCCTGGGGGAATATGTAGAAATTGGTATGTGGGCAGAAAAACTAGCGAACCTTCACCAGTGTTGAACATTCACTAAATACCAGACACTTCACTTAACTTTACCTCACATAGCTCTACCATATATGAGATAAGCGTACAACTTTGTTTTCTAAATGACAGTATGGAGACATAGAGAAGCTAAGTAACCAATTCAAGATCACATAGCTAGTAAGAGGACACGCCAGGATTTGAGCCTAGATAGTCAGGCATCAAGACTTAATTGTACCCTTTGGCCACAATGAACCATCCTGGCCTTTATTCTTCAGTTGTTTCATGTTTATTTTGGGGAAAGTCTTCCCGTTGCTTGGGAATTCTGGAGTTCATTCATGACTATGGGTAGGTACCAACCTCTGTCCAGACCTCAGCCCTCACAGACATACATGGGAAGTAGAGAAAGACACACAGAGATGGACAGTAAAAACAAATCTTCTGTACGTGTGTGTGTGTGTGTGTGTGTGTGTGTGTGTGTGTGTGTGTGCTACCATGTGTGTGTATGTAGAGGTTAGAAAAGGACATCAAGAGTGTTTTTGTGATTGCTCTCTGCTTTATTGCTCTGGGACAGGATCTCTCAATGATCAGGAAGCTTGGTTAAGCAGGCTGACTGGCCAGAGAGCTCTCCAGATCTGCCTATTTCTGTCATCGGATGCTGATGCTGATGCTGGTGCTTGTAATTCAAACTCAGGTTGTCCTGCTTGCACAGGAAGTTCTCTTACCTACAACCATCATCCTCCCCAGGATCCTGCCCCCCATCAAATATTTAAAGTGATGTTCTGGATGGGGCTACCTAAAGGCTGTGGGAAAACAAACCAGTAAGGCAGAGTTCAAGGTAGCATGTCCTGGAGGTTGTCTGTGGCACACCCTGGGGCTTTCAGGCAGGCCAGGAGGAGCTGGAGGCAGGCCAGCTACAGGAAGTCATTATGGTGTTCCCAAGGCACAGGGATATGCACACAAGTCTGCTGGGCTCTTGCCTAAGGTGCCTGGAGGCAGGAGACATAGGTGGGGTTAGAGGATGTTCACAGGCCTCCCTGAGAGCCACTGTGATGCCCTGACCTTCCTCATCCCTGCTGCTGTTTTCTGCCCTGAATCACCATCTCCAAGATTCCCGTTCCAGGAAAGCACTCTACTCAACAGTAAGATAAAAGACCAATTCACAGCCAAGGCATACAGGATGCCTAGTCCCTCCCAGACTACAGCCGTCGTCCCTGTACCCCAGTTATCATGGCAACATTCATGTACGACTGTTATCTTCATAGCAAGAGGGTCTGGGGTCCCATGGCAGCGCTTATGTATGACAGTTGTCCTAGAACTGTGCCTGCTGCATTCGTGAGTGTGTGTGTGGGCTCACTGGGGCTTGCTGGCACAGGCTTGAACACTACCCCTGCTCCAACTTGGCAACTCTAGTGGGTTTGGCAGAGAACTACAGCAAGGTCACTGTCGGAGGACATGACTTGGAGAAGGGACCCTGGAAAAACACCTGGCGCACAGGGAGTACCATTTACTCTGACAGCGCTACCAAGAGGGAAACCCTGAATAAAAGAAGCCACAAACCAGGGAACAAACAGGGAAGACTGATTTCAGAAAGTTCAGAGCCTGACGCTAGCAACATCACACACACACACACACACACACACACACACACACACACACACACGCGCGCGCGCGCACACACACCACAGTTCCTAACATCATCCTGTGTTCTGGTGGTGTCCCCGCGGAAGCAGACCCTGGGAACGTAGGATCCTAGTGAATGGATTTGTCCCCAGAAACACAAGGCCACACGGGGATGATTAAATTCCAAGAACAGATAGAGTCACAGGTGCAAAAGACCAACTGGTAGCTGTTGGGGGCAGCAGAGAGGGGGATGGGTGGCGGTGGCGGAGTGCTCTTGGTAGTCACTGGGTTCCTTCTGGGGTGGTAACTGGGACCATGGCAAAGGAAGAGGTAATTGCACCAAACTTCAGAGTAGATGACTCTGAGATGTTCTGAGGGTTTCATCTCACTGGAAGAAATAATATAAGGAGGGACATAAGACGTGGGAAACAAACAAACCAAAAGACACAGACAGACCGACAGGTGGAGTTCCTAGCGGGGAAAGGGACATGGGCCCCAAATGAGGAGAGCAAACACCCAGGTTGTTAGAAACCCAGGTTTCTGCGAACACTATTATTTTGGGGTCCTTTTGCTTAGAGCCCAGCTAAGCTCCAGTTTGACAGGAACAAAAGAGAAAGGAGTAAGGAGGAGGGAGGGGAGGAAAGAGAATGGGAAGGGCATTTTCTGAGAAGAAACAAATCCTGGGCTCTAAAAAGAGCAAGTCCATATGACAGGCCCAGAGCAGCTAGGGCAGGTGCTTCGTCCCGAGTAGCGGTTTCTAGTTAAAGGGGCACGTGAAGTCCAGGAGGCCGACTGGCCTGGGGTGACATGGGGGAAGAAGCCAGAGAAGGCATACATATACATACACAGGCTGGGTGAGTGAAGGATGTATAAAAGGGATGCTGGGTGGAGGCTTGGACAGGGACCCCTCACTTCTTGTTGCCCCCGTTATCATCAGCTATTCTTAACCTTCTATCTCATAAAATTCATGAGCATCACCCTTTACCTTTTAACATCCCCTTCTTTAATAAATGCAAGTCATTGGACCTAAACGACCCATGCCAGGGTAAAGTGCTTAATGGACTGGCCAGTTATTCAACAAATACCTGTGGCGCGAACATTTGTTCTAGGCACCATGGGGATAAACAGAAATTCATGACCTTAGCAGGGGAGATGACACAGACACAAAGTGACAAGACAGGAGATGACAAGATGCCACAGAAAAGTAGGGACAGGTGGGCAAGGCTGCAGAGAGCCTTTCGGGTACTGCCGCAAGGGAAGGCACAGGACCGGGAGACATTGTTGGACGTGCTAGTGTTTCAGGACACAAACAGTTTACAATTGCTGGCATGCTGTGGTAATGGGAAGCAGGCTAATTTTGGGTTGGTTTTATGTGTGAGTTCACTTATTGCATGTACCCAATGTGGTTGAACAACTCCCTAATGGCAGGCCACTCGGTGTCCTGGGACCTCATTGTTAGAATCAGCAAAAGAGGACCAACCCTCTTCTTATCAGGGAGCTTGCTTGAGAGGGTGGAGAGCAATGGTTTGGGTGGGAATCCGCCCCCCCCCAGGCTGAACATAAACTTCATTTAGCACCTATTGCTTCCCCCCTTTCTACTTTCAAGTGCTTCCAGAACTCAGTGCCAATCGTTGTTCAGGAAGTAGCCTCTGTTTGGGGGGGGGGCTTTTCCATCCCTCCCACCAGGAAGAAGCTGGATGAAGCCTCTGACTTCACTCCCTGAAGGCACCTCCAGTCCTCTAGGCGGACTACCCTAAGGAAGAACTGTTCAGGCTGGAGTAGACAGCACATCAGTGCCCTGCATTGCCCAAGTTTCAAAGTCTTTATTTTCCAAGGCCTGTCCCAAAATAAAACCGAGGAAGCAACATAAAGTTACGTGAAACAGAATCTCTGTATACACTTTCCATTCTTCTCCTCCACAGCTGATTAAGGATAGCTACCCACAGGCAGGCAGGCAGGCAGGCTGGCTAGTTGCAGCTTAATTTGGGGCCCTGTCTGGGGCTCTGAGTTTTCCCATGAGCATCACTCAGCCCACACCGAGAAAGGACAGAGAACAGGAAACACCCTACTCTTTGTCACCTCTTAATCCTGGCATGGGAGTGCACATTCTTTCAGCGATAACAAAAACCTGAACAAAACCCACTAGATTTTCCTCGGCGTGAAAGACACTGCTAGAGGTTTCTACTATTATCCCTACTAAGAAATTCAAAACCAGTTCCCTCGCTTTCTAATCCGGAACTTTACAGGCAACACCTCTACTTTGGAGAAAGGAGAGAAAATATTTGATGAAATTGGCCAAATTAGTTTACTTGGTCAATCAGGCAAAACTTAGAAATACAGCCGATAACGAATGCATTGAAGGCATTCTCTTTGAGGCAGATGAAGAATTCCATTGAGGAAAAATTGAGACTAGATGAGCCTGATTCTGAGGAGGGGTCCCTTTCCTGGACCCAGAGGAACAAGTTTCCGATAACAAAGACAATCCCCACCCCTGCCTCCCACAACCAGAAACCCCCGTCACGTCCCGGGTAAGCAGGCTGAGCTCGGGGGGGGGGCTGCCAGTCCATTGTCCACTAAATGTGCTTGTGGATTTTTCTTTTACATCACCCTTCCTTCCTTGTAAATCAAGCGAGAAAAAGCGTTCCAACAAAGTAAAACTTAAGCGGGAGTGGATCCAACTTTACATCCAAAGCACCGGGACCTTTCTTCCTGAAGGTGGTCTTACAAAACAGGCCACACAATGACAACAAATGCGACGGAGACTCGGGCCCCTCCTCCCGAGCCAAAACCGAGTGCACTGCACCCTCCTAAAACCGAGTCCAAAGGCACATCGACCGTGCGGGGGCAGGGGACGATGGCACGCCCCACCTGGATGTGACTAGGGGAGACTCTAGATTCGGCTCAAATGCCTGTTTGGCTTCTGGGGGGAAACTGAGGCAGGGTTGCAGCCAGGCGTACCCCCTCGGAGTAGTCGCAAACTGTCTTCTGATAGTTCCCTGGCGCACCCGAGGCAGCTCTTACCTGGCTGGCGCACGGGGACGCGGGAAGACAGCAAGGGGCAGCACAGGCTGAGGCTGGCGGCGACGAGCAGCAAGCGCCGCGGCCCCATTGTCCCGAGGCTGCCCGCGCGGCCGGGCGCCCGCGCTCGCCGGCTTTCTTCGGAGAACGCGCGTTCGGACCCTGCGGGAGACCGGAGGCGACTGCGCGGCCGCGCGGAGGAGTATTTGGAGGCGGTTCGGGGGGCGTGGGGCGGGGCCCGCGGTCTGTGCGCGTGCTCGCGGCCTCGGCTCGCGCCCGCAGCCCCTCGCTCCGGGCCAGATGCTTACACCCCCATATCCCCCCGGTGTGGCTGAGCCGCGAGCCTGGGAGTGACTCCAGCCTGCAGAGTCATGGAAAGCGCCTGTCGCCTCTTCGTGGACCCTCCTTGGGACGCGGAGCCAGACCCGGGCCGTCCCGGCGTGGTGCGCCAGTTCTCCCCTTTTTGGCGTCCGTGCGCGCTAGCCAAGTTTGGAGTTTAGTTAAAGTTGGCGCATGACTTACGTTCTTCTAATTCAGGGGAGATGATTTTTCAGGTTGGTGCTGCCATGAAAAGGGTGTCCCCAGATGTGTGCACAGAGTGTTATTTCTTTAATGTCTTTATTTTGCGAGCTTAGATTGGTCACATCGAGCTTTTGATCTAACACGCGAGTGGTCCTGGCTGTAGGTACAGGCGCAGGATCTCCAAGGTCTTGCCGGCTGAACCCCGCCTTCCGAGCTGCATCCCCAAAGCCCCGGGCGGTGGGCGATGCTTGGGTGCCTCCTGCCAGAATGTAAACCTTAGGGTTTGTGCTTGGCTACATTCCAGTCAGATCTCAAAAGGAGTGTCGGGGTTGAGGCCTGGCAAGGAGGAGCCGCAGCTTATTTTAGAGTGTGTAGTGAGGGAGACTTTTAGGACAAAACAGAAAGTGGATCCTGGCTCTGTACCCAGTCACAAGGTTTCTGAAAAAAACTGAAAGGGCTGATGCCCGAGGCATCAAAGCTCAGGATTTTGAAGTGCGGTGGTTGTCTTAGTTAATTGTTTCGAAGAAACACCATCACCAAAAGTAATTTCGGGAGGGAAGTGTTTAGATGGCTTATACTTACAAATCACTGTTCATCATTAAAGGATGTCAAGACAGGAAATCAAACAGGGCAGGAACCTGGAGGGCCATGGAGGAGTGTTGATTATAGGTTTGCTCCCCATGGCTTGCTCAGCCTGCTTTCTTACAGAAACCAGAACTAGCAGCCTAGGGATGGCACCGCCCATAATGGGCTGGGCCCTCCCCCATCAATCACTAATTGAGAAAATGCCTTACAGGCATGTTAGAGGTTTTTTTCTCCCCCCCCCCACTATGCCCCAGGCATTTTCTTAATTGAGGTTCCCTCTCCTCAGGTGACTTGAGCTTGTATGAAGTTGACAGAAAACTAACCAGCACAGCCTTATTCTGTACCCCCTGGCAACAGCTTTGAAAAGAGCAATTTTGCATGAAGACTACCTTTCCTCAAGAATAATCTCAACATTTCAGGAAATGGAGAAAGCACCATCAGAGAGAGGTGATCTCCTCTTATACTAAGAGCTGTTGCACTTTGTCTTTGTAGGATGCTCAGTAAATTGTGCAATTACCCAGCTAAACAACGCTATTTAAAAAATAATTCCCATTGGAATCTCTTGAGAAGCCATATATTATAGTATGTGGGAGCATTAACATATTTCTGCACACATTAGTAACATGGTATTGTTTCCTTAGTTCTCTGAAATATCGTTGGGTTTTAGGTTCATCACTTTTATGGACCACAGGCAAGAAAAAGTAAAATGCTGCAGTTAACCCAAGGAAAAGCACTGATTTGTAATGAAATGCTCCAATTGACTGTAAGACACCCAGCATTCAGAAAAGTAATAAAACAAGTGAGTTTTTGTTTGTTTGTTTTGTTTTGTTTTGTTTTTTTCCGGCCAAAGATATGGAGTATAGTAGTTTTCCTTAATCTAGAGAGGTACTTCTAAACCTCCTCATGGATGCTTGAAACCAGGAGAGCCAAACCCTATGTGCAGGATACTGTTTTTGCCTGTATCTTCTCCTGCATCACCCTTTAGTATCAGAGTTAATCTGTTCTTTGTCATGATACCCTCTGTGTATCACTCTCTTGTGCTTTGGGATCATTGTTAAGTAAAAGGCTATTTAGTCACAAGTATTAGGATACTGGAACGGATAACTGTCATACTGAGATGTTATTAACAAGGGTATAATGTATATAGTGTCAATACACAGGATAAAATGATTCATTCATAAAACCCCGTGTAAGTTTGAAAAATTTTTTTAAAGATTTATTTTATGTCTCTGAGTGTACGGAGTAGGTTTTTCCTCCTGCCGCTGGTCTTGTCCCACCGCCGCGCCATCCCCAATTAACACACTGAGACTCTGTATTTTATATACTGCTGTTGGCCAGTTACTTGTTTCTTATTGGCTAGCTCTGTCTTAAGTATTAGTCCATTTCTGTTAATCTATGTATTTCCACGTAGTCTTATCTTACAGGAGAGCCGGCTGGCATCCTGTTCTCTCCAGACTCTCCATCTTGACTACTCCCTACTACTTCCTCTTTCCACCTTGTCTCCTAGTCCCTCCTCTCTTGCTTTCCTCCTATTGGCCAACAGAGCTTTATTCATTAACCAGTATGAGAAACATATTTACAGAATGACATCTCCCATCATCTGAGTGTTTTGCCTTGTGTGTGTTTGTACCACATGCACACCTGGTGTCCACAGAGTTCAGAAGAGGGAATTCAATTCTCTGGAACTGGAGTTACAGATGGCTGTGAGCCACTATGCAGATCTTAAGAACCAAGCTCTTAAGCTCTGAGTTGTCTATCCAGCTCCGGAGTAAGTTCTAAACAACCTTCCTTGAATGGTATCAAAACTTTTATTTCTAGAATTTTCCATTTAGTATTTGGCTGTTGGTGAATGAAACTGTAGAAAGCATAACTTGAGAAGGCAGGGCCTCTCTTCTGGTCATTGTGTCTGTGGTCTTCACAGTCAGTGTTGGGCTTCTGTACATTATTCAATAAATTATACTCTCATATTCTTTAAAAACGTTGGAGGTGCTGGAGAGATAGCTTGAGTACCTGAGTGTTATCCCCAGAACAAATTAGGGTGGTATGCACCTGCAATTTCAGTACTGGGAAGGCAAGCAGTGACAAGCACTTCCCCAGGACTCCCTAGCCAGACAGCCTAGCCTACTTGGCAGGCTCCAGGCCAGTAGGAGATCCTATCTCAAAAAAAGGTGGAACCACTTGAAGTTATTTGTTGGCCTTTACTCACAACGTATATGAACATGCATGAGCACACATATACACCATCCAAGAATGGTAGAAATGGTGGGAAATGTTGAGGGTGTTTTTGGGAGCTGTTATATTATAACAAAATGTACCTTGAAGAGGGATCTTGAAATAAGGAAGTTCTTAAATTCTCTGCATATTTACTAAAGTAATTCTCAGAATTCGGGTGTAATACAGAGAGCCAAGGGAGAGAGGACCGAATGAGATTTTTTTTTTCCCCTCTGTCTTCTTAGTATTTGCTAAGAAATGTGGATTTTCTAGAGAGATTTCTCTTTAAAATTTTAATATATGGTTATTTTTCCTGCATATATGTCTGTGCACCATATTCATGCAGTTCCTGCAGGGGCCAGAAGAGCTCATCAGATCTTCTGTAACTGAAGTACAAATCGTCCTAAGCTGCCATCTGGGTGCTGGAAACTGAACCCTGATCCTCTGCAAGCACAGCAAATGCTCTTAAGCACTGAGCACCTCTTCAGCCCTAGATTAAGAATTTTAATTAGATCATTTACAAGAAATCAAAACTACATTAAAAAACAACTGTAACTTTTAGCATGTATAAGTATAGATTCCTAGATTCCATCCTGGACCAATGTATAAAACATGCTCCTGGGTGAGGAGATCTGAGGGCTCCCACACAGGAGTTAAGAGTAGGAAATGGGATTCAGACGTTAGCATGAATCAGAATCAGCTGCAAGATTTAAGCCACAACACTGGGCTGAATTTCCAGAGATTTTGATGCTGTTGGTCTGAAGTACTGCTTGCTGCTGCTGCTGCTGCTACTTGGGGGTTGTGTATGAGTGAATGCATTTTGTTGATCATTGCTTTAGGAGAGCCAGGAAAACTGAATGTGGTTCCAAACCAGGCATGGTGGTGCACACCTGTAATCCCAGCACCAGAAAGACACAAGCAGGAAAGTTGCAAATTCTAGCCCAGCCTGAGCTACATAGAAAGCCCTTGTCTGAAACAAAATCAAACAAACTAATATTCCACATACATGCATCCTTCAATGTCCAAAAGTGATTGGTTTCAGGATCTCTAAGAAAAGCCAGATCTGAGGATGCTCATGTCCTTTATATTTAACAGTATAGTATTTGCATGTAACCAAATGCACGTTTTGTTATACTTGAAATCATTTCTCAGTAGTTGTGTCTAATAGAGCAGAAATGTAGTGCAAGTACTTGACATTTTTATTGTTTAGGGTATAAAACCCAGAAATCTGGACATGTTTGTTACAAACTCGATGGCCCTCAAATATTTTCTAGTCTAAGTTAAATTGAATTGAAAAGAGGAATCCTCAAGTATGAACTGAGTTTAATTTGTGACTTTCTTTAAAATCCCCCATGAAAATGTACATGGGCCCCCAAATGGGCATTAACATATATATATGTATTCATGTATATGTATATGTTATATATGTATATATTATATGTATATGCATATAATATGTATACAGATTATATACATTAACACACCCACATATATACACATGTTCCTCTTTAAAACAAATTATCTTTTGCATTTGTGTGTGCAGGGATGCATGTAAGCCAACACTGTATATATAATAAATAATAAATTTTAGAATAAAAACAATGCCTTTCTCTCATAGTTTTGCTTGTGAGCCTAGCTTGTGAGGCTCATTCAGAGTTCTGTGAATCATTTGTGTTTCCAAAATTACTACTTTAGTTTTAAATGTTTGAAGATGTCTACCATTTTTGACATATTCCTGGGACTTCCATAATTTGTATTTCTCTAGATTTACTTGCTTCATGTATATGTCAATTTTTTTAAAAAAGTAGTTGGGTATGGTGTCATATACCCAGAATCAGTACTCTAAGAGGCAAGTTTAACTTGGATTACATAGGGGAT